AGTTATAGAGAAAAATGATAATAAAAATTAAACCTCATTTATACTAAGGTCCTATGGACTTAATGTGTTACTCTTAGGGATACCTGAATTTTAAGAGAGGATAAAAGAGTAGACATGGAATGGGAGATTTGGGGGGGGAGAGGATTTATAGAAGCATCAAATTATATGACTACTTTCTAGCCCAATATTCCCAAGAAAATTGACCATTAAAGCAACACTCACTGACCCCGGTTTCATTTTGGTCAGATGAGTTGGTTATTTTAGAGGCAGAAAGTTACTTCCTCCTGACAACAGTACTTCCTCCTGACAGCCTCAATTGGGATTGGGTTATTAGATTATTTACATTGGTCCTATACTTTTTTATAGGACACGTGGGGAACGTAACACCACTTGTAATGAACATTCCCTGGTTCATACATTTTCAAGTATATGGATAGGAGTTGAATTTACACATCTCAAGGAAAGCTCTCTGACAAAAGTTTAGAGAAGTAAAAAGCAACCCAATGTAACCTGTTAGAGTAAGGAAAGCATTTCTGGCTTCATCCATGAAGAAGCTTGGGTCTGTTATAATCTTGATAGTAAGGAGTTTGGGAGCTAAAATGAGTTTGGTGTGTGCAGGGGAGTAATAATGGAAGATGAATGCAAGTTTTCTCTTTAACCCTGAGCCGTGACTATGCCAAGGGGAAAAGCAGGAAGAACATGCTGATTCATCTGAAGAAGTCAAATATCAAATGGACTACGGGTTATGGATTATTAAAATGTCAGTGGCTGAATGATGCTTTTTCAAAAGCAGTTGGGAATCTGTCCTACGTGCAGTAACAGCGACAGCAGCCCTGGAATGTGAGCCCAGGGCTCCAGATTTAAGTTAATGCAAAAACTAAACGATTTAAAGTTAAATGTTAATGCTAGGCACAAGCACTCTGTAATACATTAAATTTCAGCCCAAGCAATTAGAGAATGTTTCTGAAACATTAAACTTGTATTTATGTCACTAAAATTCTAACACAAATTTTAAAAATGTGTTCTCATACATATGTTGTACTAGGCTTCATGATGCATTTCTAAATTTGTGTATGATTTGAATATATAAAAGAATTTATACAAGAGTGTTATTTAAAATTATTAAAAATAAATGTATATAATTTGTACCTATTGTAGACTTGTTGTTTTACTTTTTCATGTGGTCAGTGGTTGGAAGTCCTTTGATATATGTCACAGATCATTTATTTTCAAATTATGTCATGAAAACCTTGAAACCTTCACTTGTTAACTATGCTTTTCGTTTTAAGAATTTCTTTTAAAGAATGCTTCCATCTGGCGAGTGTTGCTCAGTGGTTGAGCTTTGACCTATGAACTAGGTCACAGTTCGATACTCGGTCAGGGCACATGCCCGGGTTGGGGCTCAATTCCCAGTGTGGGACATACAGGAGGCAGCAGATCAAGGATTCTCTCTCATCCTTGATGTTTCTATCTCTCTCTCCCTCTCCCTTTCTCTCTGAAATCAAGAAAAGTATATATTTTTAAAAAGAATGTTTTCCACTTGGGAAAAAAGTGCCACATTGAAGAAAATTCCCCTTCTTAGAACAAGTCAAAACAACACACCCTGAGGGGGAAAACCCATATGTTAACGTATATTCTTGTTTGTGCTTTTTAAAAATTATATATATTTCAGAGGGAAGGGAGAGGAAGAGAGAGATAGAAACATCAAGGATGAGACAGTATCATTGATTGGCTGCCTCCTTCACGCCCCCTACTGGGGATTGAGCTGCACCCTGGCATGTGCCATTCCCTGGAATTGAACCCTGGGATTCTCCAGTCTGTAGGCCAACTCCCTATCCACTGAGCCAAACTGGTTAGGGCTTGTTTGTGCTTTTGCTTTTCCCCTCAGGTCCATTGGGATTTCCATGGAAATGTCAGAGGAAAAAAACTTGCTCCTTTTGGATTCCTTTTAGTATAAATTTGAAGGGCTACAACCATGTTCTGTGTGTTTATTAGATAACTGATAATGAGAGTACATCTTTTTATTATTTTAAAATACCCTTGGAGATCCTCTATTTTGATATAGTTTAGAGATGTTTACTTGGATGCCATTTGGAGACCCAAGGGGGTATTTGAAAAAGAAGAAAAACTAAGGCCTTTCTTTGTGCTGACAGGTTTATAAACTTCAACTGGTTTATTCAACATCACTTGTTGATATTTAAACTTTATAACTCTGTTTTTCTTTTCTAGTCACACAGGAAAATGAGTTTTATTTATAATCCCATTTTATAATTTATACATAGGGTTCTATACATGTAGATATATGATGTACATGAATTGGGTGTTGTTTTAAGAAAACAGAATAAGAATGGCAGAAATCTAAGCAACTTAAAATTTCAAGAGAAAGTAAATCTATAAATTTACTACAAGAGGAAAAACATACTTTTATGGTATTGTAGTCATACTTTTGATGAAAGTCCATCAGATAAAGATATTTACTAGATTGCATTGTCAAAATTGGTTGTATTCATTTTCCATAGGGATATAAAATTACACATGACTCACTATAATTAAATCAGTAACTTCAGAGTAACAGTTATGCTTAACCACAAATAGTTTAAGCTAAACTCAAAACAAAATATTTTTCATGAGATAGTATTAGGAGTGTTAATTGACAAGCTAAAAAGCAGCATTCTCAGTGAATGTTTAAAAGTTATAATTTTACCTATGTTCATTTTTCAAGATAAATTTATGAAGAAATTATTGTCATACTTATTGTACAGGCTTCCTAATACTTCTGCTAACCAAATGAAAGCCTCAAACAATGTTAAGTTTAAAATGTGTTGCCAGTATGTATTAATAGGTGGGTTTTAAACCTTGTATGTTGAACACCAAATTTCAGATAGCTGCAGAAAAAAATGGGCAAAGTCTTCTCTTTGTATGTAGCAAGAGTACGTTTGAGTAATAAAGGAAGTATTTGGGAGGAAATCTTCTTTTGCGGTTTCCTTTGTGTTGTTAGATCAATTGCTAAAGTCTTATACATCAGTGTTGTTTTTCTTAGTCTCTATCCCAAACAAGGAAGAGCCTTAACCTCTCCTTATGTTCACTACTATTCTAACCCAACCATGTTAAAATTCATGTATAATTTTCTATATATGCTAGGTTATATAATGTCTCTGTCTTTGCTGGTGCTGTTTCTTCTATCTATAGCAGTGGTTCTCAACCTTCCTAATACCGCGACCCTTTAAAACAGTTCCTCATGTTGTGTTGACCCCCAACTATAAACTTATTTTTGTTGCTACTTCATAACTGTAATTTTGCTATTATGAAGAATCATAATGTAAATATCTGATATGCAGTATGTATTTTCAGGGGTCGCGACCCACAGGTTGAGAACCGCCCCAGCTGGTCCCTCCACTTCTACCACATCACCTCATTAGATTTCCCTCAGAACACTTATTACTCTTGGTAATGATCTTGTCTGTTTGTTTGTTTACCTATTTGTTTACTTATTTGTTTATTGCTTACTGTCTAGTCATTGAAAAGTAAGACTTCTGAGGGAAGTGGCATGGGCGCCAATTTTTTCCAGTGTTTAAACTACCATTGACCCCAATGGGTGCTCAGTTAACAGATGTTCTTGAATGCCTCTTGGGAGAGGATCTGGGAACTAGGCCCACTACAGACTCACCGTAGAGACCACACTCAGGAATAAACGTGTTCTCCCAGCCCAGTGATGGCGAACCTTTTGAGCTCGGCGTGTCAGCATTTTGAAAAACTTTAACTTAACTCTGGTGCCGTGTCACATATAGAATTTTTTTTATATTTGCAACCATAATAAAACAAAGACTTATATTTTTGATATTTATTTTATATATTTAAATGCCATTTAACGAAGAAAAATCAACCAAAAAATGAGTTCTTGTGTCACCTCTGACACACGTGTCATAGGTTCACCATCACTGTCTTAGAGAATACTTCATTCTTTTTTCTTTTAATATATTTTATTGATTTTTCACAAAGAGGAAGGGAGACAGAT